GTTCTGATTACTATGGACGCTGCCGCTGATGTCCAGCCTCCTTGGTGCGACCTAGCGCTCCAGAGGAGGAGCGAACGCTGCGAAACGTCAAGGCAGAGGGGAGAGAAAAGGGGTGGGAAAAAAAAATACTGAAAGAGGACAGCCCTGCGAGCCGTCCCTGGACCGCGCTGCGTTGAGATGGCAATCCCATAGCGTGACAGCAGCAGCAGCAGCGCCCAGACGCCGCGATGAAATGTAGCTAACAGCAGCCCTGCAGCTGGGAAGCAGGCAGGCACCAGGCCGGTCTGAAATGCGCTGACTTCCCTAGCTGGGGCGGCTCGTTCCCACCAGGATCCCTCCGGCTCGGCTTCTCCTCCCCGCGACTCCGCGGCGGAACTCGAAGGCGCAATCCCCCCCGTGCCCGCCGGGTCTCTGCGGTTTGCTGCATCCTCCGCGCGCCCAGGATGGCGGAGGCTGAACTGCACAAGGAGAGGCTGCAGGCGATTGCAGTAAGTCGGCTTCGTTTTTGCTCGGTTCTTTTGTCTGAATCCGGGGGATACAGAAGCGGCCCCGCATTCCGTCACCAGAACGGGACAAATGGCTTTTTCTCGCCTCAGACCCCCCCCTTTTTTTTTTCCCTTTTAAAATGCTCCCTGGTGAAGTTGTGCTGAGTTGGCCCTTTCATTTTTTCCATTTGCTTCATTGCTTTGTAACGAGCAAATGGTCTGATTTTGCCGTAGATCGTCCGAGTTGTGGTGGGTTTGCATGTGACTGAGGTTACTAGCGAAGAATATATATATATTTATTTCTGGACCTTTTGGAAAAACTGGCAGAGTAGTAGGCGGAGAATGGGAGTGAGCGGTCTATGTACAGAATTATTCGTTCATAAAATCTAGATCGGCAGTTGCATCAGAACTAAACAGAAGCTTGAAGAACACGTTCTGTTTTAAGGGCAGATGCAAACCTCACAATTTGCGCTGGTTTCCTACAAAGAGTAACAGTTGGCTGTTGCGTTGTGAATTGAGGCAAAGTCAGGTATAAATAGTGTTGGTGATCAATTTGCAGTTCTAATGCCAAAAACTCTCTCGGCAGCTTACATACAATTTGTAACGGTTTAGTAATCAATTTGCAGTGCTATTTATTCAGGGGCAAGTTCCGTTAATTCTCTCAGGCAAGCATGTGTAATATTGCTGCCTTGACTGACTTCCCCTGAATTGTAACTTCAGCAGTACCTGAAAACCTCCTCAGGGTTTTGGAAGCTAAGCAGGGTTGGACCTGGATATTACTTGGATGGGAAACACCAGGGTGAAGGGCCAGGCTGGGAAGTCGAAAATCACCCTGGAAGTAGGCAGTGGCAAACTACTTGCATGTTATTGCCAAGAGGACTATATGGACAAGCCATAAAGTTGCCTTGTGTTGAACTTGACTCAAGGGAGATTTTCCCTTACCTGTTTATTTTTGCAGTTCTCATAAAAAAAAAAAAAAGGTAAAATGAATATATGTATTTATGGGAATTCCAAGGACAAACCCAGAACCCCTACATCTGTTTACACAATCGTTAAAACAAACACACAATGAAGAATACCATAAATAGGAATTCAGTAGACCAGCTAGCATTGTAAATGTTGTAACCTTTGTCATGATCACCAAGGAAGACATGAGGATGACAATATTGAGACGGGACATGCTATGTTCTTGACTTGAAATGGACTCATAAGTCCATTCACCATGCTAAAAGTTTATCTGAACACTTTTCACCATATAATCTCCATTATAAGCCACGCCCTTTATTCAAGCATCTTGGGCATGATACCAATCAATTAAGCAATGCCAGTCTTGTAAGACATTAATGTGAATCGAATATTTGATTTTCTGTAAAATATGTAATTAATGGGGAGAAAGGAGAAGGAAAAGAAAACCCAAAAAGATTTTGGGAATAGTCTTTGTCTTTCTGCCTGCATTTTTAATTTGCTCTGAGAAACTTCAGGTAGATATAAATTAATGAAAATATACAGGAAGCTTTGTTTGACATTTAAAATCTGTGATATACACAGATCATGCTCAGATTTCAATCAATTCCTGAACTGACAATGAATGAATTAGGCATATCATTATCTTGACAGTGAATGAATTAGGCATATGATACTACTTTCTAATTTGAATCTAGAGTTCTGTGTTCTGATTTTCCCACCCCACCCTGTTTGGTCTCTTTGTCTAAACATATTTTTGGAGAAAGCTTCAGTTTCCGCTAATAAAGTGATTGCAGTCATCCCAAGGGATAGTTCTGTGTTTCTGCTCCTCCCCTCTGACCTTGTCCTTGAGGTAGCGCATCCTGTCCATCCATAACAGTAGTATGAAAGCTTTCTTCCCCAATTTGGAGGGCTGATGTGCCTGGGCGGGGTTTCGTACGTGCAGATGTCTGTATATCACAGGGTTTTTGGAATTGGCTTGCCATTGCCTTCTTCCTGGGGCTGAGAGTGAGTGACTGGCCCAAGGTCACCCAACTGGCTTCGTGCCTAAGGCAGAACTGGAATGCATGGTCTCCTGGTTTCTAGCCTGGTGCCTTCACCACTACACCACACCGGCTCTCTACAACCAGCTGGGTTTTGGCTTTTTCCTCCACTAGTCATTATATTTGTTGACTGTCTCGTTCCAGGCTCTTTCACAGTTCTCTGTACAGAACCGTGACACCCTCCATAACGCTTTTTACTTTCTGCCAAGATGGTTTTATCCACCTCATATTGGCTTTTGTTGTCTAAATGTGGCCACCTATGTTTTCCTTTTTTACTTCTCTTTAATTCCTGTATAATT